ACAAGATGAGGAAGAGCCAGATGAGAGAGAAGGAGACAAGAGAGAAGCTGATAGGGGAAAGAACTAGATAGATGAGAACCTAGAAGGGACAGAACTAGATGAAGGAATTAAGATAGAACCTAGAGGGGACAGTAGATAAATATAGAGAGAAATCAGGCAAGAAAGGAGCTAGACATGAGAACAGAACTGAAGCTGTGTTTAAAGGATGTTATGCCAGAGGAATTAAAGCAAGTGGACTATAGAACTCGGTGTGCTGAGATTATATTTCCTGATAATAGTCCTCGCCGTTAGTAGTTCTCTCTCCTGAGCCCCTGGGATGTATAATATTAAGGCTGGTCCCTCTAATATTATACAAGACTAGAGCCCCAAGCTTCATGCATGCTAGGCAGACACTACCAGCACCACATAAACCTGGCTGTAGTAGCATACAGCTGCAGCCCCAGCAGTGGGGTAGAGCAAGCAGGAGGATCACAAGTTCAAGGTCATCCACAGCAGCATGCCAAGTTTGAAGCAAGTACATGAGACCCTACTTCAAAAACCAAGCCAAGGGCTGGAGAGACGGCTCAGTCAGTTAAGAGCACTGGCTGCTCTTCTAGAGGATGCAAAACACTCATACACATAAAATAAAAACAAAAATAGTCAAGAATAAAAACAAACCAGCGCTCGGGAGGCAGAGGCAAGTGGATCTCTGAGAGTTCCAGGCCAGCTGAGTCTACAGAGCAAGTTCCGAGTTCCGGGACAGCCAGGGTTACACAGAGAAACGCTTTGATACACTCACAGAAACGGAGTGGACCCGTGGTTAACGGGGCCACAGAGAGAGGAGAAGAGCAGAATGGGGAGAAGCTGGGCAGGCAACTAGGGGACTGAGTTCAAGAAACCCAGGGGTGCACTGCACACCAGGTGCCTGTAGGTGCCTGTAAACAACAGGTGAGCACTGCACTTTTCAGGAAGCTAAAAAAGGATTTCTAATGTTTTAACCATTAAAAATTATAAATACATGAAATGAAGCTGTGTAAGCACTACATGATTTATATATGTGTCAAAATACCATGAGATCCCATGACATAATTTTGATGTTTTTACACTTGTGATGTGTAGTTTAGTGGTAGGGTGTGCACCCAGCATGGACTGGGGGGCTGAGTATAGTTTCAGCATCCAAATAGCAATATACATATATGCGTGTGTGTGTGTATGTGTGTGTGTGTGTGTGTGTGTGTGTATGTATACACATGTTCATGTAGTGTGCACATGTGTGGGGACTACAAGTTGATGTTAGGTGCAGCACGAATACTAATTGGTCTTAATAAAAACCTGGAGCTAGATATCGGGGTAAATGCTGACAGATCAGAGAGACAAAGGAACAAGCCACAGCCACCTCTCACCTCACCAACAGGAGTCTGCCTTCATTGCTTCCCCCCTTATTTTTTGAGACAGGGTCTTTTTTTTTTTTTTTTTTTTTTTGTTTTTCGAGACAGGGTTTCTCTGTGTAGCTTTGCGCCTTTCCTGGAGCTCACTTGGTAGCCCAGGCTGGCCTCGAACTCACAGAGATCCGCCTGGCTCTGCCTCCCGAGTGCTGGGATTAAAGGCGTGCGCCACCAACGCCCGGCGAGACAGGGTCTCTTATTGAGCCTGGAGCTTGCCATACGGTAAGACTAACTAGCTGGTGAGCTCCAGGCATCTTCCTGTCTCCACCTGCCCAGCACTACAATTACAGTGTGCACCACCATGCCCGGCTTATTGTGGGTGCAAACAATTGTCCTCGTCCTGTTCCCTCTATTGAATGTGAGGTGGGAAAGACCATGGAGGAAATGGCCATGCCAATCACTTGTTCTTCATGTCAGGATTATCAACCAGGGCTCCCCCTCCTGTCCCTGAGCAAGAGGAAACGCCTGTCTCCATCCTCAACAAACTGTGAGGGCAAGAGAAGGACTAGGAGGAGACACGGTGGGAACAATAGAAACAGGACGACGACGACACCATGGCGAAGAACAGACGTTGGTGCCACCAGATGCGGCTTTTACTTTACCACCTGGATAGCAAACACCTCTGAATTTCTGTGCCTATACTTAAGAGGTACTGACTCCTCATGGAGGGGAGGGGACCTGGAGAGACGGCTCAGTGGTTAAGAATGCTTGATGCTCTCTCAGAAGAGCACAGTTCGGTTCCCACCACTCAAATCAGAAGGCTCAGAACTGCCTGTAATGCCAGCTCCAGGATAGCCAACTCCTTCTTCTAGCCTTCATGGACACGTGTCCATACATTCATATACTCATACGCGCGCGCGCGCGCGCGCGCGCGCACACACACACACACACACATACACACACACACACCAAAAAAAAAAAGCTTTTTTTAAATTTTGTTTTTTTGAGAGGGTCTCTCTACATAGCCCTGGCTGTCCTGGAACTCATTATACAGACGAGGCTGTCCTCTTGAGTGCTGGGGTTACAGGTGTGTGCCACTACATGTAGGGCATTTTCTTAATGAGTTATTAACCTGGGAGGGTCCAGCACTTTGTGGGTGGTACTGCCCTGGTCTGGCGGACCTGGGTGCTGCCGTGAGGAAAAAGCGCTCCTCTGTGACCTCTGCATCAGCTCCTGTCTCCAGGTTCCTGTCTGGTTTGGAGTTCTCACCCTGGCTTGCCTCAACAGACTGTGATTTAGGATATGTGAGCCAAATAAGCGCTCTCCTCCCCAAGCTGTTTTTGGTCACGGTGTTTCATCACACAGTAACCCGACTAAGACTGTGTCTGAGGATGAATGTGCACATGTGCACCATGTCAGGAGTCTGGAGACCAGAGAGCAGCTGCGGAGGTGATTCTCCCTCCATCTTTACACGGGTTCCAGTTAAAAACTTCATTCCAGGAATAAACTCAGGTTATCATCAGGCTTGGCAGGCAGCAAGTGCCTTCACTCACTAAACCGTCTCACTGGCACTCTCTGAAGGTCGCTAAGAGCACTTCCTGCTCTTCCAGAGACACGGAGCTGGGTTCCCTGCTCCGCATCAGGTGGCTCACAACCACCTACAGCTCTAGCTCAAGGGGATGGAGGTCCGTCTGTCTCCCCAAACCAATATAGTCATAGTCTCCTTACTTCCTTATATTTTTTTCAAAAATCATTCTAGGTCCACTATAAATACTGTAAAACAGGGTCCCCAAGGCTGGAGAGATGGCTCAGTGGTTAAGAGCACTGGCTGCTCTTCCAAAGGACCCAGGTTCAGTTCCCATATGGTAGCTCACAACTGTCTGTAACTCCAGTTCCAGGGGATCCTAAACCCTCACACAGATACACATGCAGGCAAAACACCAACGCACATAAAAATAAATAAATGAAAATAAACAACAACAAAAAACCAGGTCCCCACTCAGGCAAGATGAAGTCTATTCCCAAGGTTTCTGTCTGCTGATCCATTCTGAAGGCTGTGAAACAGGCACACACACTCCCGCCATGTGCTAGAGAAGAGAAGAGGCCTGGCTGCTGAGCCCAACAAAAGACAGAGGAAGCTAGCCTGGGCCTGTGGGCGAGGAGTTGGTACGGTCTAGTGCAGTAATTTAAGAGTCCAAACTCGGGACTCAGTCTAATTCAAATTCCAGTTCTTTTATAACCCAGATGTGAGGCTTGAGCAATTCGGTCTCCTCGTCTGTAAGACAGCAGTAACAAGAGACTCTGGTAGCAAGAGGGCCTTCCTCTACCATCGTTCTGTCCAGGTGGGGGTAGTCAGCTTAGGCCAACTGAAAGGGAGCAAGGCTCCTCTTGTCCTGGCTCTGTAGACACCGACTCTGGAGATGGTGATCTGTTAATGAAGATGATCATAACTTTTCCCCAGTTTTTTGTAGTTCTTAATATCGCCCATGTTGCTGTGTTAAATATTTTCACATAATGAGTTCCAGGCATGTCAGGGCTACATAGTGAGAATGTGTCTCAAAAAAACCCAGCCTATAGACTACCTGAACTGAAGATGTAGCTCCATGATACAGCCTGAGGACCTGGGTTTGATCCTGAAGGAGTCTGACCTGTGGAGCCAGGCTGTCAACATCTAAATCCTGGCTCTGAACCAATCACCCAATCAATCAATCAATCTTGGCCCTCACACTGCTGAGAAATGATAATTAATATCATTATAGTGGGGCACATATTATCATCTACCAGTTTTACAATGTTATGCTGAAAATTAAATTCATTAGTGACACATATGTACAAAATAACTAGAAGAGTACTCGGTGCATAATCAGTGATTTAAAAAATGTTAGCTTTTATAATTATTCTAATTGCGATTCTGGAAGATTAAATACTAAGTTAATTATATTTTGCTTGGTTTCAAAATATGTTTTAGAATTAAAACATATATTAGGTGATTATAAAGAGAAATCAGGGGGAAGAGAGAAAATTATTGAATTATTCCATTATTTTAAGTGTATGGGTATTTTAGCTGCATGTATGTCTATGTACCAGTTATGTGCCTATTGCCTGCAGAGGCCAAAAGAAGACAATGAATCTGCTAGAACTGGATTTACAGACAGCTGTGAGCTGCCCTGTGGGTGCTGGGAATTGAACCTGGGTCCTGTAGAAGAGCAGCCAGTGCTCTTAATCACTTGAGCCAGGGCTGAGCATCTCTTTAGCCTCAAAAAGGGTAAGATTTTACAAGGCATAGGGCAGAGAACAGAAGGAAATCAGTGCTAAAAATGAAGGGGGCAATCCAAGCACAGCTGAATGCAAGTTTGGTGGCACACATCTACAACCCCTGTCACTCAGGAGGCTCAAGTAGAGGATGGAGAGGTTCAAGACCAACTTAAGTCATTCTACAAGCAGCCCCTCCGCCACAAGTTCAAGACCAGCTTGGTCTACATAGCAAATTCCAGGCTAGCCAGCACAAGCAGAAGGCAGAATCAGAGAGGTAACATTGCAAAGTGTCACCCTCATAGAATCACTATTATCACACATGTTCAATAAAATCTCAGAAACAGGCTTAGGGTCAAAGAAAGACAGGTGTCATACACTCACTCATGGACTCTGCTGTCACCATAGAGGTCGCTCAGGCCGAAGCTGATGTAGTGCCAGTGCTCAGGGATGTTGGCAGAAGGACTCCCCATATTCCTGTACATGCTAACATAATCCAAGGGGTCTGGACCACCCAACCTGCAAAAGACAAAACACAAGGTGTCAATTGAAACCTGGAAACCAGAAAATAGCAAGTAGGAGGCTCTTCTCTATGAACCCAAACGCCCCATCCTAGAGGACCTAAAGCAGAAGATAACTAAAGGGAGGCAAAAAATGTCTTGAGTGCTGAGCCAAGGGTAAGCAGCTGAGGCTACGTGATGTCACATGATCAACCAATTCCCTTCTCTTCCCTCCAACAGACAGGGCCTCTTTTAGAAATTCAACTTGCTGGGTGCACTCTCTGCTTTCGCCTGTTTTAAGTTGCTGACTCCAAATGGAGTCTCCTGTGGTGCCTGACAGCATGCCAGGCTTCAAGGTAAGAGAGAGCATATTTAACCACTGGCTTCTGTTGAACGACTATCCAGAGCATGCCCACTGGACATTCCCGGCAGTACAGGTTTCATTCTACACCTGTCTCTTAGACAGCTAGTTCCTGAAAGCCTGCACTGTGCCTTCTATTATTGTGTCTTCTAAATACACCCAAAGCCTCTGGTCTGCACAGATCCTGGCCTGCAATCCACAGATCAAAACTTAGTCGCTTCAAAGGGACCAAGTCCAAACATCAGCTACCTCAGCCCTGCAGAGAGCACTCAGCTCGAACCAGGCTGAACCCTGTTTACACCTGCACTCTAAAGAGCATCCCAGGAGGCATCTGTCTCAAAGGAAGAGCTGGGACAGTTCCCGATTTGAAGCTCCTAGGGACCACATTAAATTTCCCCATAAATCCAACAGAGAAGCAGTTGAGGAAGAGATTTAGTCATTACCTCACCAAAGATTTAATTCAATAAAAGTTCTTTTAGCAATTAGTGCTTAAGTAAAGCAAAACAAACAATAAACAAAACCGCTTTTCTTCAGAACGGACAGGAAAACACAGTGGACTTGAGAAGCACACTAAATAGAAACCATCAGCAGAAGTGTGCCTGAGCCATGAACTCCACATTTGAGCTGCCTCACATGGGCCACAGGCTGGAGAACCTTTGCCTGGCCCTGGAACATGGTCAGGAGCGCACTTCAAGCAGGCTGAACTACTAAGGGAACACTAACAACCAAATAAAAGACATGGTACAGGAGATCCCAGCCAGTGTGCCAGGACCATGCAATTCAAACCCTATTTTAAAACCAGTAAGTCTGGTTTCATCCTCTTTGCCAGGATGTTATTAGTCTTTGCAGAAATCCTTACTCTCTGGGGAAAAAGATAAAGCTAAGTTATTTATAGAACTCAAAAGGAAGAAAGTCACTACAAATAGCTTAGATCTCACCTGAGTGGTCAGGTAAAGGGACAAGTCTCTATGCCTGTCTTTTGTTTTTGTTTGTTTGTTTGTTGTTTTTCAAGACAGGGTTTTCCTGTGTACTCCTGGCTGTCCTGGAACTCAGAGATCCACCTGCCTCTGCCTCCCAAGTGCTGGGACTAAGGCCTGTGCCACCACCGCCTGGCCTCTATGTCTGTCTTTAACTGTGATTTCACTAAACCCATAACCAGTTGGATTTAGAAACATTTTGGGGAAGGACAGAGGAAAGAAAAGGATCCCATTATGGCTGCAGAACCCTAAAACAGACAGGCTCCATACTTCCTCCAACTTCCTTCCGGAACCCCCCAAGAGCCTTTGCTGCAGCCTAGGTCCACCCAGTAACAAGCAGTGCCACTGTGTGCTGTCCTGCTCCACCTGTCAGCATGCTGCAGCTCCTTCAGACAGTCTCCCAGGAGAGATCACATCAAAAAGAGGCCTTAAGAGGTGTCAGGGAGCCGGGCGGTGGGGGCGCACGCCTTTAGTCCCAGCACTTGGGAGGCAGAGGCAGGCGGCTCTTTGTGGGTTCCAGGACAGCCAGGGCTACACAGAGAAACCCTGTCTCAAAAAAACTAAAAAAAAGACGTGCTCTAATGGCCTAAAGCATCCCTTACCTTAATTCCCGAACCCTGTCTTCTCTACAGGGCAGTTGCAGAACTAGAGAGAGCCCAGGGCACCAGGCTCTGCCTCCCTGCTTTGGTCCTTGCCTTGCTTGTGAAAGTCTCAACTATTAGCTGGAGTACCCCTGCCAGCCAGGGACCACTAGCTAAAAAGCCACCCCTGAAACCCCAAAGAAATCCTATAGCCAGACCCAAGCAGCTGCGTCAGTCACCCTGCTGTGAGAACTGAAGGGTTATGAATACACCTTGGTATCTCAATTCTGCAAATCCCTCTCCGTCCCAGAGGAAACCAGTCCCTAAGCTGTTTCCTCTCAGATTCCTGCATCTAGGTGGCATTTCTTATTTCACAAAGTGCTGTACATACATGCCTTCTCAATTGATATCACATGCTGGTCTACCTCTGTGGATACTGCCTCACTACAAGCTCCCAGTAGGAAAAAAAAAAAAAAAATGCTGTAACTTCTCTTGGTCCTTTGCATAATGCTTCCAATACCTTTAACACACAACTCTCTTGATGGCCATGTAGTGACATAAAGCCAGCTGCCCTGTTCTTCACAGGGATTTCCCCTCACACTTAAGATCAGTGCAAACATCATGGGAAGGCCAGCTTCTTTTCTCTCATAACATGGGGCAAGTTCACACAACAGAGTTAAATAGAAAGGTGCAATTAAAATGGTTGATTAAGTTAGCAAGAGCTACTGGCCTCAGTGGTGCCCGCCATTAATCCCAGAATTCCGGAGGCAGAGGCAGGGGAATCTCTGTGAGTTTGAAGCCAGCCAGCCTGTTCTACATAGTAAGTTCCAGGACAGCCAGAGCTACATAGTGAGATCCTGGCTCAAAAAACCCAAACAAACAAACAAGCCAAAGGTTAGCAAGAGCTGTTTTCCACCCAGAAGCAATCCTGAAACAGTGTGCTTGCCACAGATGCACTGCCGGGGCATACCGCCTGGCTGCTAGCGCAGAGGCCAGGCCCCAGGCCCTTCCGGGCTGTCGGTTTTCTTTGCATCATCCTCCCACTGACACAGGGAGTTACCCTCGGCCCTGTACAGCCTAAGTGCCATCTCCAGAGGCAGTAAGAGGATGTCACATAAGAAAAAGACTCGGCCCTAAAGGGGGTGTAACCAGCAAAGACATCCACTTCCCCCTTCAGGTCCATCTTTTGCCAATACCCCAAGCTGGGAGTCTTCCAGGATCCACTGAAAGGGGTCACCTAATACACTGAGTTTCTGCATGAATGTGGCCACCTCTTGGCTTATTTTTGGTCCAGAAAGTCCATGAGAACTCGCCCCCATAACACCTGTTTTGTCTGATGGCTGGCTGAAGAAACGCTTGCAAACAAGAAGGGGGAATCAGAAAGGCCAGTCCATTTGAAAACGGATCCTTTACTGAGCCACTTTAAAGTTATCTTGAGCTTCCCAGAGAAAGCGGCTGAAATCCTGAAGATATGACAGGAAGCGCTTCTTCAGGCTGCACATCACTGCCCCTGCTCACAGCTCAGGGTCTCCATCAAGCACTTCCCACCGTAAGTGCAAGCTACGATCCTCTTCAATCCCTCCCAAGCCGAAGCATGGCTCTCCCTGAGCCTGTTCCTAACTAACGTCCTAAAGCAAAAGCAGCTGCAACGCCAGAAGCAAGGTCTGCAGTGAGAACTGTGCAGAGTAAGCAAAAAGTTTATCTGGAAGAGTTGCTCTGTCAAACTTCAAGAGCAACAGCTTCGCACTGAATGACAGAAGCTCCTGCACCCCGGAGGGTCCCGAAAGAAGGCTGTCTCCTCAACTCTTCACCCATCAAAGGCACAGTGGCCTCATCTTGCTCCCTCCTAGCCCACCAGGGCGTCCTGGTCCCCGGATCGCCCTAGACTACGCGGTCTCGTGCCCTCCAGAGCCCTCTCAAATGTTCTCCAGGCCCCGCCTCACCTCCCCCATTCTACTCCAGCCGTCCCCTGGCTTCCCCAAGCCCACTAATGACCCACTACAGGCGCCCCCTCCTTTCTCCACGTTTACAGTTCCCTCTCTCAGTGCCCCCTCCGCTCCTGCATACACCCCCAGTTCTCAGTTCTCCTAATCCCGGTTACCCCCTCTCTACTCAAGGGATCCGTTAACCCTTTGTCCCCACTCCCAACTTCTGTCTTAACTCCTTCCCCAGCATCAGGAAGCTCCCGGTTCCCAAGTACTTGAACCGTTTTCTTCCTCCCCCTCCTGCAAATTACTTCGTCCCCGGCGCTCGAAGCTTTCCCGGCCGGCCCCCGTGCCCCCGAGGCCCAGAGCATACCAGTACTTGACGATAGCGGTGACCTGGAGCGGGTTCGGCTGGTCAGGGTAAAGGCGGCGGCACTCTCCGTAGATGGCGTGCAGTCCCGGGGGAAAGAGTGAGGCAAAGGCCGGAGGGGCACTAGGGCCGGGGGCCGGGGGCGCGGCGGGGCCGGGGGCGACGCTAGGCCGCAGCTCCGCCATCGGGGCGCGTGGGGCGCGCGGGGAACCCGGGAGGGTAGAGGAGGGAAAGCGCCCCGATGGGCCGGCGGACCCACTGTGGATGAGACTCCCCGGGGCGACGGGGGCTACGGCGAGGTCTAACTCCGCGCCTGCGCACGGTGCGCCGTCCGCCCAAGCCCTAGCCTTCGCGAAGTCGGCCAGAGGGTGCTGCGGGACCGCGGGGAGCCCCAGGGGGCGGGGCGTCGGCGTGCCCTTGGCTGACATCCATTGGCTAGTGCCGCTGCCAGTCACAAGTGGAGAAGGCGTGACTTGACAGTAGGCCCCGCCTCCCTGCCCCTGGGTTGGGAGCGTCCCAAGGATCTTGGCCTCCCCCTAGTGTTAGGAGGAACCCAATTTTAAACCGAGATGGGGTACCTAGTGGTGCTAGGATCCGGTGAAAGTTGTTAAGAAGCTCCTACAAAGCGCTTAACATTATTTTGCTGATGCACAATTTTAAGATAAACTTGACAACTGACCCCATTATTCATTTGTGAGTCATTATTAATATATTACAACTCTAATATTTCTTGGTGCAACTTGAAGAGGCAGGGAAAGAAATACTCCAGGGGAAAGTGCCTGGCTGTTTTAAAAGCATTTACGCAACTTTCTCTTCACCTGAATATTTTCATCCATCAAGGTTTTAAGCTCTAGAAAAGAGATATTAAAGCAGTTTCTAAACCTTTAGATAATTTTAGACCAGTAGTTCGATTGCACCCAGCTACAGGTATTTTTGATCACCTTTGTTAGCTTTTGCTTCAAGGGTTTGTTTTGTTTATCCAGAGTTTTTGTGTGGCCCTGGCTGTCCTGGAACTCGCTCTGCAGACCAGGCTGGCCTCAGACTCACAGAGATCCGCCTGCCTCTGCCTCCGGAGTGCTGGGATTAAAGGTGTGCGCCACCACTGCCAGCAGGCGCTGCTGTGGATCTTGTACATGCTGGAGAAGCATTCTACCACTGAGCGACATGGCAGTCCCAGAAATGTTTATTAATGGTTATATTACCCAAATGAAGAAATGGCTGAGTGACGGGGCTAATCTGTAAAATTCAACCGCCCCTGAACTACTGACAAATCCAATCTCAACTACGCACAAATACTCCAGACTCAGAATTCAAGAGTGTGTTGGGAAACGCTTCCAGGAGACTACAAATCCAGGCATGCAACATAATCATCAACCTGTGGCTCTTGAATCTACCGAGACTACAAACCCCATGGCACCCTACAACGGAAATACACCGTCCAATTTTCTAAACCCGGCGGGACTCGGGCCCGTTTGGAGCGCCAGCCCCGGGGCAAAGGATGCTGGGGATTGTAGTTCTTCGGAGGCGAGGTCGGGCCGCTCCCTGGAAGCCCAGTACCGGCGACTAGACTGCGCATGCGTGCCAGTGGCGTTTGCAGCGGACCGGGCTGGCAGTTCCTTCCTCGGAAGGAAAGATTCCTCTGCCATGGAGTCCTACGATGTGATCGCCAATCAGCCTGTTGTGATCGACAACGTGAGTAGCGTCTTTCCTATCTCTAAAGAGTCTGTGCTGTCCTCCAGAGAGGATCGTTTCCGAGGTTTCAGCCTAGGCCGCCTGCTCTTTGTCACTGGCCCGGCCTGTCAGGCGGGTTCAGCTGCCGCCGCCCCCGTCCTCCTCACAGCCATAGTTTGCAGGCAGGGCGGCCAGCAGCGCCCATGTGATGGAGAATTTGAGGGTAGACAAAAGGAAGAGCTGTAGTCCGAGAAGGGTCCTTGGACCCTCGGCTCAAGGGGCCTTAACCGTTCTCCGAGAACCTAGCATCCGCCTTCTCCCTGGTTTCCCATCACTCAATTGGGTGCTCTTGCTGTCTATCTTGGCCTATTGGTCCCGCCTTTGGGCTTTGCCGGATTAGACCAGGACTCTGCGATTATTGGCTGGCGCGCTTGTCGCTCTTCTAGCCTCCATAGTGTTTCCCTTCTATAAGGGGTGGGGCAGTGCACTAGGGCGGTAGGGATTGGCTTGGCTCGCTCAGGGTGCGGAAGGCGATGGCTGGTCCACCGGAGAAGGGCAGTTTCCTTGGGTGTGAGCCTGCGGGGCGGCATAGTGAACTGTATCTGGGTGGGGCCGGATAACCCGGTGCCAGAAATGGCTATGGGATTTCAGTTATTTTTGTGATTATAAATTATGGTTAGTAAAGGTAAACAAAAAAGGATAGAGACAAAGCAGGCGAGGTGCTTTCGTCTTTGCAGAGCCCAGATGAGAGGCAGGGAGATCATCAGACGCAGTGTTTGTCAGGTGCGCTAGCGTCTCCAGGGCACCTTTGCCAACATGTGAGTTGAAGCCTCACGAAAAGTGAATGGTTAAGAAGGAAGCTTGCTCCTCCTTTCACAGATGAACACCGAAGATGGAGGTGATCAAGGTCATATTCCGCAGCGCTGACCTATAAGTTTGCCTTATCTAAATGTCATTCCTTTGCTAACCACCCCTCCACAAATGCATCAGTAGTGACAAATAGAAAGAACCTTTTATGAGGCTGGGAAGTTGTCTTCAGTTTCTGTATTTCACTCAAAGATTTGGTCCCGTCGAGACTGATCGGAATCTTCCTGTGCTCTTTCAAGATCATCCTTTGAGGCAAACTACCAGTTCCCTCTGTCGTAGGCTGACCTTATCAGAGCAACTGTGATGCTCCAGCCCTTCTGACCGGGTCGGCCACTAGGTTCTTTTATTTGCATCATAGGTAGATGGAGATGGCTTTCCCCAGTTTATACAGGAACAAGGAGGCTTTGGAAGGTTTTTCAGACCACACACTTTTAGGAGTTGAAGATCCAAGACTCACACTGAAATCATCTGATTCCAAATTCTTCAGTCTTTCAAGGAAGGCTGCTTTATTTATTGTAAACTGCCTTTTAAAAGATGAGGCTGAGACTGGGGGGCGGGGTGTGTGGTCCAGCTGGGAGTGCTCCATCCTCAGCACACCATAGACCTGGTATATAAATCCGATTGTGGTAGTTCTTGTCTGTAATCCCAGCACTAGGGAGTTGGAGACAGGAAAATCAGAAATGCAAGGTCCTGTTTGAAGCCAGCCTCTAAGACGTGAGACTCTGTCTGTTTGTTGGGGGTAGGGGGTTGAGCAAAGGTAGTTAAATGAGACACCTTATTTTGAGGTGTTTGTTAGACTTTTTGACTCTTGTGGGGAGGGGAGTGGGATCCTTCATTTTTCATTAGTCCCTTGCCTACATCCCACTCTACACGTACCCAGGGCCCAATATAATCTGCCCCCCCCCCCCC